CACCGAGCCAATTCATTTTATCTAAGGCTTCCTTCACCATCACCAGGTTATTCGAGTAAAGTAATATATTACACGTTACTCATATATATAAAGCTTCTTTCTTTGTGCAAGATTATTTAGCAATCAGTGGGAGCCTCCAGCAAATCTGAATTTTGGTGCTTAACTTTCTCGCTAAAATTTCTGGCTGAGCGCGCCTCCAAGGACCCGTGGGTCCTATGCAGTTTACCCAGCTTCCGTGTCCCCAATAAAATTCTCTACATTTTAATTTCCTGAAAGTTCGGTTCTTAAGCAAATACTGGAAGTTATTGAAGTTTCAATGAGATGCATGCGAGGTAATAGCTTCATGATCTGCACATACCGTTGGCGTAAATGTTTAGTTCTTTATTATAATGCTGGCGATCTGAGATCTCAAAATATGCAAGATTTGAAATTGCAGAATAAGCTATGGAAGTAATTTTTCCAGCCGATACCTATAGATTTTAACACTTCACTCTATCATATTCGAGTCAATTGCAGGGTAAATAATCAAACAAATAGCAACTAATGTCTATCTTATTTTTATCCATACCGATTTGTAAAAGTAAACTTTGTAAAATTAACAAATAAAAATGCAACAACATAAATGCATTATTAGAAATGCAACAACAGAATCTAATGAACTCTAAAAAAAAGTCAATGGAAATAGTTGAAAAGGTAGTGATTGAAATGTAATTTTCAGCTTTAACATTTGAATTATGGAACCCAGCGAAAGATTTCAGTTGAAAATGTTTTGAATAATCCTTCGTGATTTCCATCCGTGCCTTTCTGAATTACAAAATCACATGTAAATATCAACGTCGGCTAGGAAAACATAATCGATAGAAACAACCTCGTAAGCCTGCGAACTATTCCGCAATAATATTTTAAAAATATTTTCGCCTTGATATTTTCTGCAGTAATCTGAATTATTTAACTAAAAATTAACTTTCGCTTGAGCATGACAAGAAATGCATGCTCAACTGTTTAGTTCTTTATGGTTATTGGTCCTGGAAATATTATCACGTAACGATTTCCGTTTGTGTTCTTCGTATGTCGTTAACTAATTCATCTAATGTTATTCGAGTTAACTGTTGATCAAGTTCGATTTCAAAGGACATGTGCTAATTGACAGATAGAGATTTAGGAGCGCCTCGGAACTCGTACCACTCAAATCTAATTAAGATCATTTTTCTTCAGCGGGTCTTGATAATCTACGAAATTTTGCATTAAATTTTTGATCGTGTTTGCTCGTGAATAAACTGATGCAGATTTTAATCTTCATGATTATATAGAGAATTGTTCTGTTGAAATTAATGTTTTTTTTCTCAAATATAGTTACGGGGAAATAAAAAACTCTCCATTAGACAATAAGTTTAATGCCAAAAGAAATTTAGCTAAAATATACCTATATTTTCACATTAGAAAAATTACCGATAATGACATTTGTTCAGGTATGCAATTATTTCCTTACATTAATTTTTTAGTCAGCAGGTAAAGTATCTAAAGTTTTCTAGTTATTAATTAATAATAATAATAAGTTTTTTTATTATTAAGCGATTATAAGATCGATGAAGAATACAGTTGAAGTTCTTTGTCAAATTATGCGCTCAGAATAACTAAATGAAATTAGTTTATGAGTGCCAAAAATTGCGCCTGGAAACTGTATTTTATTCTGAGATCAAATACATACATTTCAATTTAAATCGCTTATCATGCAATTCATTTAAACAAAACTTCTTCCAGTTTTGGTGCTTACGCTAAATTGCATCGAAGTGAATGCACAATGAACACTCGCCAACTCTCCGCAGTAAATAAAAGAAGAAATGCAAAAATTTCGAGATAAAATCAAGAAATTCTGTCGAGCAACCCAATGCCATTCACAATATAAAGATCAAATATCACGAGGCTATGAGCGGTTGAAGTTTTTCTCAAAATCAGAAACAACTCTTATGAGCAAACATTGATTTTTGAAAATGAACGCTACATATGGTCCCCTTCCTCTTCTGCAGTGTCTAATGAAAACAGATTTCACGGGCGGTTTATGCGCCTGAAAGTTGGATAGCATTGCATCTAGTAGCTGATCTCTATTGTCAACTAAGGCTCCACTCAGAGCAATAAGTGAGTCTTAGTCAAAATAAAGATGCACTTTTGAACCTGCGGAGGTCATGCTGAACTCTATTGGCCCACGGTGTATCAGTGCTACGTACATACATATCACTGTTAGAAAAAACGGTGTAAAAAACGGTCCCACTGGCGTTCTAGTGGCTGGTCGCCCCGTGAAAATAAACTGTTTCGCCGTTTTTATCAGACGTTTTACGGATTTCTAGTGTTAAATTAGAATAAAAATGGCAACACGGTGTTTCTTTTCACGTGCCGACCGTCCACTGAAACGACGGTAATACCGTCAACGGTAATTTTTCTAACAGTGTACGGAGTGTGTCGCTATTTGGACAATATGACCCGCTAATTTTCCTGAGAGTCGTTTGTGTTAGTTACTTAATTCTATTCGCATTCGATATGTTTATTCAAAAATTAAAGTCCTGAATTTCAAGTATTATTTCAATCATGTTAGAACTCTCGGAAGCCATAAAAAGCTGACGAATACCCTTCCATGTCACACAGAGATATTTGATTGATTCAGGCATACGGAAATGATCGAGGCTCGAGTTCGGCACTTAGTTTACTTATTGCATTACAGTCTGTGTTGAAGTTATGCCGTCCGTGTGCAAACCATTTGGGAGCCGGATGTCGACCGTCCGCGATACAGGAGCCGGATGTCAACTACAGCCATTCTCACAGAACACATAAGACGCTTCACGATAAACGCTGTAGTTCCGACACGTCACCTCCATGGTCGCTATAGTTCCGACACGTCACCTGCATGGTCGCTATAGTTCCGACACGTCACCTGCATGGTAGCTATATATAGACCCGGACACACCACCTCCATGGTCGCTATAGTTCCGACACGTCACCTCCATGGTCGCTATACTTCCGACACGTCACCTCCATGGTCGCTATAGTTCCGACACGACACCTCCATGGTCGCTATAGTTCAGACACGTCACCTCCGAGAGGAAAGCACATGCCTTGCCTTGCACCTAACGTATTTATTGTCATATGCGCCCTGCCAAGCGGGGTTCTCACTAAAGCTGTCTGGCCGCAAGGTAATGCCTTCGGGCAAACAGTCTTCCCTTGCATTAAGTGTTGCTCAAGCTCCAGTGACCTGCTAGTCTTGAGACGGGCTTGCTTTACAAATGGAGTTGCTCAAGTGACTGCAACCCAATGCAATCACGGTGCATGAATTTGTATGGAGTTACGTGACTGCACGGTACGCTGCATGTGCAACCTAACGCAACCACAATGCACTAACTCTCAACTAGCAAGCTTCCTAAATCTTTTGGTGAGCAAAATTTGTGGTAAACGTCATTTTGGACCTCAAAACAAACATGATACGAGGCAGCTTAGCGGCGACGCTCACTCAGCCACATTATGCGAGGCAGCCATGAGGCGGCGCTCACTCAGCAACATTATATGCGAGGCAGCCATGAGACGGCGCTCACTCAGCCACATTATGCGAGGCAGCCATGAGGCAGTACTCACTTAGCCACATTATGCGAGGCAGCCATGAGGCGGCGCTCACTCAGCCACATTATATGCTAGGCAGCCATGAGACGGCGCTCACTCAGCCACGTTATGCGAGGCAGCCATGAGGCAGTACTCACTCAGCCACATTATGCGAGGCAGCCATGAGGCAGTACTCACTCAGCCACGTTATGCGAGGCAGCCATGAGGCAGTACTCACTCAGCCACATTATGCGAGGCAGCCATGAGGCGGTACTCACTCAGCCACGTTATGCGAGGCAGCCATGAGGCAGTACTCACTCAGCCACGTTATGCGAGGCAGCCATGAGGCAGTACTCACTCAGCCACATTATGAGAGGCAGCCATGAAGCAGTACTCACTCAGCCACATTATGAGAGGCAGCCATGAGGCAGTACTCACTCAGCCACATGATGAGAGGCAGCCATGAGGCAGTACTCACTCAGCCACATGATGAGAGGCAGCCATGAGACAGTACTCACTCAGCCACATTATGCGAGGCAACCATGACGCAGTACTCACTCAGCCACGTTATGCGAGGCAGCCATGAGGCTGTACTCACTCAGCCACATTATGCGAGGCAGCCATGAGGCGGTGCTCACTCAGCCACGTTATGCGAGGCAGCCATGAGGCAGTACTCACTCAGCCACATTATGCGAGGCAGCCATGAGGCAGTACTCCCTCAGCCACATGATGAGATGCAGCAACATTATGACAACATAGAGCATTAGGAGACGCAGTCTTCCTTATATACGCAGCCAAGCAGCGCAGGATTTCCAGGCCACAATATTGGCTTGTCGTCGAGATTGCGCTCAGGATGAGAACGTGGCGCTTGGTAACTCGGCAGCGCACAATTTGTAAGCACGGCATGCATGTCTATCCAATAATATTGCTTCACCAGAAAGGAAGCAGAAGTCGACATTGAATATTTAAACAAAATAAAGTCGGCTACAAATTCCACGTGGTAATACAACGCAATTGCAAACACTTTTAAAACGATAACTAAGTGGTATTTTTGTACGTGCAAATTTACATAATTATAATTACAAAATTTAAGGCGAACATCGATGTTTTAATATATCATCAAACATTAAATTTTGACTGAATACCTTCTAATATATTCTAAATAAACTTTTAATATGACAAATTAACTTACTTCTGTGAGCAAGAAATCCTGCACTAACTTGATAGAAAGTCAATTTAAATTGTATTTGAATGACAAAATTGCCATCGGTGTGTAAAAGCCGACCATCATAAGACCATTTCTTGTTTCAGAACAGCCACTAATGTTTTATACCCCATGCCTTGTGTTTCTAAATTTTCATTGTTCTCGGCTCATGGTCATGTATTTTATTCAGATTTTTTCTTTCCATTTTCAGAAAAGGCCATTCATGACCGCCAACCATACCCAGGCTCCGACGTACGAAAAAGAAGAAGACGAGATGGAGAGCAAAGGGAACCACATGCTGATGAGCAATCCGCTCGAGAGGAAAGGCCAACGCAGTCCGGGCAAAAACACAGCCCATCTCCTCATCCTGTCAGATCGACGCGATATATAGGCCGAAAAATGCCCTTAGCTTCGCCTGCTACGAAGGATCCAGTCGATGAGCGAACAAAATCGGTCGAGTTGATCGGAGAAAAAAGTGCAACGATTTCCGATGTTCAGAGAATTTTCACCGATACACTCAAGGAGGAAAGATTAGAGCAATTCATTGAGAAGAAAGCGCCCTTAAACATAAAAGTAATGCCACAAATGCCGGCTAATGGAACCAAGCATGAAGTTTTGGGCTCAGCTGGCAAAGAATTTTCAAGGAAAAAAGGAGACGTCTATCCGGCGGGTGCAATTTATAGGGACGTTAAAAAACCGGTACCGCTAGGAAACGAGCTAATTGAAGTCAGTTCCACCCAAGGGCATGTAAAGAGAGACGGTCATTCTTTAGACTACAGAGCAAAGAATCGAAAAACTATACTAAAAAATAACACCAATGTCTGGCTGAAAAGAGATCTAGGATCCATCGGGCTACTGGACACATCAAAAATCAATGTTTCGCCTTCGGAATATAAATTTATCGTTCCACGGCATGAGATAAAACGATGTTGCACAACAAATGAGGTCGCAAAACTTGAAAGCCTACGCGGGCGAGAGCGCAAAATAGAAAGCTCTGAGTATCGGAAGAGATCTGGCGAATCTGTTAAGATAAACGCCTTCCTTTCGGCTCCTGACAAACACGATGTCTTCGAACGCTTGAGAGACCGAGCGTTCAGACCAGGATACGGATCTCGGAAGTTCTTAGGTCAAGATTCCCATTTGTGGACCTCTTTGCCTTCATATTTCAGAGGGAAACTTTGCCGAGTTTGTCATGACACGAGAAGTACGATCTCTGGAAGCTCCACACTAGTGCGGACTGAACGACAAACAGACCGGAAGCCATTATCACAGCTGACAGATTCCGAAAAGAGTTTCCGTCATATGAACGCTCCGAAACCGATTGCTGCAACCTCCCAAACAAGCGGCCAGAATTCTGTTATCGGGTTGCTTCAACTCAAGGAAGAAACGTCATCAGTAAATGCTACGTCACCTCGAGCAACAAAACAAATTATTGGGCTGCAGCAGCATAAAGAAGCCCATGAAACCTCATCACACAACAGCAGGACTTCCTCACCCACGAGGGAAGCATTAACACCGACCGTTGGTTCTCAAAATAAAACCAATCTGTACCATGATTTTAGTCATAACATCCATGATCCTGCAATGAGGAGCAGAAGGACGAGCAAGACAACACCAGTTATTGATTCTCGAAATAAAACCAATATGCCCCATGAATTTGCTCGCACCCTCTATGAGCGTGGCGGTGGCTCACTATTGAGGAGCAGAAGGACGAGCAAGACAACACTAGTTATTGATTCTCGAAATACAACCAATCAGCCCCATGAATCCGCTCACACCACCCATGAGCATGGCGGTGAGTCACTATTGAGGAGCAGAAGGACGAGCAAGAAGCTGCTGAGCGTGCTGGTGATCGTGCCTGGCATGAGCTACTCGGGCGGGTCTGCTCAGCGATACGACGCTTCGGCCCTCGCCGCTCTTGGCCATCTCGTCGTGGTCACGTTTAACTACAGGCTCGGCACTCTAGGTGACTTACTTTAAGAAATTATAATTATTCTTAATTATAGTAGTTTTTATTTCGTCACGTTTAACTGCAGTCTCGGCACTCTAGGCAGGCTCGGCACACATTATAATTATTCTTAATTATAGTAGTTTTTATTTCGTCACGTTTAACTACAGACTCGGCACCCTAGGTGACTTACTTTAAAAAATTATAATCATTCTTAATTAAACTGCTTTTTGTTCTCTTCAAATAATTGTCGCAGTTAGAATTAAATGTTAATTCGAATGGCTATTAAATTAATATGAGAAATATTATTTCCATCATTGAGAAGTCACTAGAACGGTTCATCGACTTCAAGCTTTGAAGAACTAAAGCTAAGTAACAAAAATCATGTACAGATAGTGTATGAGGAACTTACTTTTTAAAAAACCATCGCCAAATGCAAAATATTGCGGCGGAAACGAGGATGCGTTTTAGAGGAAGGGTCTTCAATGTTTTGTTCCCACCACTGACCCTCAGTATTATGTAAGGGATGACAGAGTATCGCAAATTATGAGCCATACTATGATAATTTCCATATATGTACAGAATCTGTTGAATAATGGTAAAAAATTGCCTAAAACTTTACCTATTAAGCTCCTTGCGTCACTTTCCTCTATGGGGTCATTTGGAAATTGTATTATAATATTGAGGAGATGTATCGCAAAAATTTAGATTCAGTCATTTAATTTCTCGCTGTGAATGAATTAAGGCTCATTCCTGGTACTCGAAACTTCACGATACCTTCTTTTTCAACGGAGAAGTTTAAGTAGATTTTTCTCGAAGTTTAAGTAGATTTAGATCGTTCTTTGAAACTGACCGAATTTATTTTCATTTATAATTGTGCAACTGTCCCGACTTTTTAAAGTCATATTAATTTAACGACATCTAGTTTAAAGTAAATCGAATATAAAAATTGTTTAAATTGGTTGAAGACCGAAACTAATCGATTCATGTTCGCTTACCTACAAAAATATCAATTATATTTCAATGACTTCATCGCAATTATATACTTACCATCGTAATTATCAATGTTTAAATAATGGTATTTATTTACACCATATAATTAACGCATCCTAGAGCCTACTGGCTAGTGACAGTCAGTAGCACTTAGCATGCAGGTTTCAAGTGACGCCGGTGCTCATGTGGAGAGAATCTCTATTCTTCATTTGTTCACGTTCATAATTATTGTCTCTATAGCTCATCGTTGATGTCTTTTTAATTAATCCACGGTGACTTGAGAATTAGTTGAAGTTATATACCAAAAAAATATCCATGCGCGTATTTGTTTTAACTGGCGACGAAGACATCACCAGCTATCGGTCTGCTCTAATACTCCGCAGACGTTCGGTAATGCACGGGCTCTGAGTATGGGGGGAAAGATTCTCTGATTTGTGTTTCAAAAAAAAAACTTTTAGGAACTTAAGAGGAATTATTGATGAAAGACCGACTCGGGATCGCTGGTTCGGTAAAATATTTCAATTTAATCTATTTTCTCCGGTTTGAATGCCGCATTCACTATAAATATTTATAGAGAAAGATTACTAAGTCTTCTTCTCTAGAGAGGTCATATTACTCAGCTGTAAGATACGATGTTATTTCGAAGCCAGCAAATGCAGCGGGAGAAATATGATCAATTATAAGCGCGTAAAAATTGGAGAAAAGGTCATGAATTTTTAATATGAGCATATTTTATCAGAAGTTGTGTAAACACTTCCGCGTTTGAGGCAAGCTTATTAAAACTAGAAATATTTTATATCGATCTCACCAAAAGTATTGCTCTAGAAAAATCAGTTATGGAAGCTTCAATTTATTTTTTAATTCATTGTTATAAAAATTGAGGACCTTAAGAAAATAAAATTTAGTTTGAGAGTAAATTTAATTTAAAAATAAAAGTTCAACATTAAAAAACGACACCAAGATAACAGCAATAATGTATGAATTGTAAATTATTCAATTAGAATTTGCTTGTGGAATGCAGCGCAGAGGCAGCAATTCCTGCAACAGCGTTCTGACCACCGCACAAGAACAACTTGCAGTTCGTGACAAAATTGAAAAGTTTCTGCGAATTATTGGGCAACTTCGAGTACAATGGATGCTGCACCGGAGACTCGCTGCTGCTAAATCACAGACAAACTTCAGAGCTCACTCCATTTTACGACCGGATTTTATCCCAGTATCGAGTGCCTGGCAGATCGAAATGTTTCAATTGTTCGGAACTTTCTGGTGGCAGCTATATATAGTTGTAAATCCATTCACTGCACTTCTGAATGAAGATACAAGACTAAAGTTAATCCCGGACATTCATGAACAAATTGCTTCTCAGCATTTTCAGTCACTGGGAATTTTAACGTACAATTGTTTGTTTATAAATTCAGTGCCTTAAATGTCCTGCTTTTTTATGTAATTCATGATTCTTCGTCCAAATTCTAATATTTATCCTGCTAGGATAAATGCAGGATAGCATTAATTCTAATGCTATCCTGCTAGAGCGGATAATCACACATGTTCAACGATAACAAGTTATTCAAATATTTATTTCACTATACAATTCCTACATCGAATTATCATGGTAAATTATCATACTATTATTATTTATCTTAAATTATCATACTGATTGCGAGTCATACGCTGTTATTTGTTTTCAGTGATGTTGCCAGCCCCTAATAAAAACAAGTCGTTTATTGTCAATTTTTCACACTGTTATCATCAGCTAGTCTCCCTTTGGCCTCGTCACTAACTCCTACGCCGCTGCAAATATTTCCATGGGGAAATTGGAAATTTTTCGGCGTAGGTGTCAGGCTAAAGGAAATTATGAGGCAGTTCACAGAATTGGTTGGAATTGACTGGGCTGCACACCCGACATTGGTCCCAGAGTTGCTGCCGCGGGATCCGATTTATAGGGAACAATAAATCCCGGCATTGAGTTCGGATAATGGCACTGGATGACCAGTACTTCAGCATTATGGCTTCGCAGGTCTCCTCAGCGCCCTTAAACCCAGCCAATGACAAATATCCCACCACAAAAATTGTCTACTGTTCCACAATCATGCTTTAAATACACTCCAATACAGCCCATTAATGAGTAATAATCAATCTTTTATCTGGAGAATAAAACAAGTATAAACTGATGACTATACACTAAATAATTTTTTAATCATTTCATGAATAAAATTTATTCTTAATATTAACGAAGAGTCTGAGAACCTGGTCGAGTTGCTTGGTAACTCATTTAGTCAAACTGAATGAAGCAGGTGATGGAATTTTACTACTAAGTCTAGGTGCATGTTGCTTAACGAAATTCATGAATTCATTCACCAGTTCAATGGAAGACTCACGCAGACATTAACAAGTCAGAAAGTACTAGGAAAATGTTAAAAATAAATTCAACATCGCTGTCTCGCCAGACCGACTGTCGGGAATGATAATATCTATCAATTTTTTATCACAATATCAATTTATGTCGCAATATCAATATTTGGTCCAAATGTTAATTGTTATCGTAATACGTTAGTGGGAGGCTTTACTTGAAATCGTGAATATGAAGCTAAATTTCTGGAGCTCAAATGATAATCATAAAACATCTAGCAGTTGATAAGTTTGCTTTGCCTCTAGACTTCAAATATCATATAGTATTACCGTATTTCCTAATATCACTTTATTAATTAACCAGCTATTGGGTCATAATACCGCAATGTTTTTGTTTTCGACCAATTAAATTAGATTGTTGATGTTATCATCTAATGCAACATAATAATTTCTCAATTATTAAATATCGCGACTGAAAGCTAGCTGAGCTTTAATTAAGGCCGAGCAGAATGAGATGCGTGACAAAATAATTTTAGGACATTTTCAATTCTGTCAACTGTTGGCAAGTCAAGGGCCAGAACGACGGCCAAATTGTCACCAGTAATGGATCATTTTTAGCCCGTTGATGTAAGTTCGATGAGGCAAAATGATCAAATAAATCCAGAGTTCTTTGAAGGACCTGAAGAATAATTCATTTATATTCCGAGGGCTGCGTAGGCAGAGCTGGCTTGGTTCAAGACAATAGAATAAAAAATATGACCTTTCGTGTTGGAAATTAACCGTTTTGACTATTTTTAGAGTCGCTAGACTCCAAGTTTCAAAAAATAGTAAACTCAAACAAATTATATTTTAGTTTTTCTAGGTATTGTTTTCATTTAATTATCAAATCGTCCAGGACACATGAATACATTTTATATAAATGTGAAGTTGTATTATCACATTATAGATAAAATATTATTAACTAATTATATCGTAAAATAACGCAAGTTATTCCACTCCTATTCTTTCTCACATTTCAGAGAATAAGAGAATCGCATATTTCAGTGTTCTTATCAGAGTTTTTGCAACTATCAAATTATGTTTACCACACACATTGTTAAAATTTGTTGACTTACACACATAAAATTCCTTCATTATCTATTACGGTGGATAAAAAATGTTACAAAAAATCCCCCCCAAAAATTCACACTGTCAGTAACGTAGATGCATGTATATAACATGAACTTCCCGCCCGAAACAGAAAGAAGCGAGCTTCAAAATATCCTAGGGGCGAATAATGAAATGGCGCGTTTGCTCCCAGGTCAGGGGGCTCAAAAGAGCTTTTGTTTTAACAGGAGACAATCAAGCAAGTCTTTCATGCAGGCTCCAGTGAAAGAGTCGCACTGAAATATTTCTTGGGCAACGTAGCTGTGTTTTCTGGTCTTGTCACCCATTCAAAATATCGCAGAAAGATTCTTGTGGCGAGACTGAACGTCTCTTGCAGTGCAGTTTACTGCACACCTCAGGAAACGGTACGCACCTTGTGTATTTAATAGTCCATAGAAATCGGGGAAGTTAAGCTTTAACATATAAGAACAAATACCATTCCGCTGACCGATATGTATCGTGAATCATCATATACGCAGCTACGCGTAATTTAAATGCCTGCTGTGCATGAGAAAGAGAATTTCCATATGTAATGATAGAATTTTCAAACGACTCTATAATCCACAAATGAAAAGTAGCCACGTATTTTATAATACAAATATTTCAAATTTCTCTCGCTAATCAGTACTTAATGAGAACATAATTAATTGTCTTGGCATTTATTTAATTTAAATTTGTTGTAACTACGTCCTTTTTTGGTTTTGTTATTCTGATGAGATCGATTTTGTTATGCGTAAGATCGACGTACTGATGCATTACGTAGGAATGTAATTTTACTGATTTGAATTGAAGAATACAACACTTTCATCCTTCATGGCTCCACAACAGACCCATGCAAGCAGCCGGTGGCAGAGAACTAAATTACAAATCCGTTTAATCAGTGTAATTATTAAATTTTCGTTCAATGGACAAGCTTGTTTCCTACAAGGTTTTTGAACGCAGGCATGATCTTGAATTTTAGAATTCAACATATTCGTTCGCAACGGCTCTTAAACCCACGCTTAAAATCAACCGGCTTCAAAATCTGAAGGTTCAAATCCACTGAATCGGTTAATTTTTTCTTCTTTGTAAATAATAATATAAGTGCGTTAATCGCCTCACAATTTTCAAACCTATAGACCAGATATCGAATTTTTTAATTTGACATTTGTCTCCTACACAACGCCAATCAAAAATCCACACGTCCGTTATTAATTTGTAGATACTAATGGTTCAACAGAATAAATTTATTTTTATTATATATGATGATAAAATTAATTTGTATTAACTACATCCATTTATTCAATATAATTAATCCGTTTTTACTAATTGTTCAACATAACAAGTTTACATTTACTATTTGTTCGATATAACTTAATTGTGTTTACTATAGCTACTTATTACTAATTAGTAATAATAATTTCTTGTTAATTACTATTACCAAGTAATTAGTGTACAGGAACGTCGGTTCGAATTATCACTTAGGGGTGGTATGCAAAACTAAACCAAGTTTATTGTATTTATAATTATAATTAAACATTTATAATTATATTAATAATTAAACTAGGATCTATGTTACAGGCTAAAGGTAGAAGTAATACGTGAAGGTATAACGGATAATGGTAGAAAATGAATATAATTGAACTAACTCGTGGGACAAGGTTCAATCCTAAGGAGCTGACCTGCTTAAGATACAAGCCTAAATTAATATCGATGCGATTATATCGATTTATCTTTTCCTATTTTTATTATCCAAGTATAATTCCAAATATATATAGTATTTTGCAAAAAATATAAAGACACAATTATTGCATAATGCCTATAAGCTCACCTGCTCTGTGTGGGAGAATAGGGTCGACAATTTTATTCAGGATACCCAGCACTGAGCCAAGTGACGGAATTGAAGAAAAAATCTATAACAGAAATGTGGACGCACCTATTACAATTACTTTGTATTTATTATTTGAATAATAAAATTAATGCATATTTATTTTATCAACTATTTAATAAAATAAATATGCATTATTATATGCATTATATGCATTATTAAAATTAATGCATATATTAACTATTTTTTAATATATGTGCATGTTTGCCTGCAGGATTTCTCAACGCAGGCGTAAACATGACGTCCGGCAGGGGCGCGAACTACGGCATGACAGACCAGCTGGCGGCGCTGCGTTGGGTGCAGGACAACATCATGGCGTTCGGGGGCAACCCACGTAAGGTGACGCTACTGGGACACGGCATGTCTGCGGCCTGCGTACACCTCCTGATGGCGTACACTGCATCTACTGATAAAGCTTCGCACGGTAACATTTCTGTCAACAAACTACATACTGATTCTCGAATTACTTGAAAATTTTAATTCTATTATCTAAATCTTAAGTGGTGTCATTACGAGATTTCTTAACCATTTCCCGTGTAGAGATACATAATCAAAATATTCGTCGCACGCAAGATTCCGATTTTTGGGCAGGCCTGCACTGTGTTTACTTAGAGCGCAACCGCGAATATTTTTAAAATCATCATTTGCAATCATAATTCAAATGCAATCATCATCCTATTGCAATCATATTATCCGTCCGGTAATCGTTATCCCTATTACGCGGCGTAGACGCGCAGCTCTTCAGTCGCGTGATCCTGATGTCAGGCTCAGCGTTCAGTCCGTGGGCGATGGTCGACACCCCAGAAAATTATGCGCAACAGGCAGCAAGCCAGCTAAACTGCCCCCTGGGCACCAATTTCCTCGACTGTGTGAGGAATACATCCATCGAAGACGTGCTCAAGGTGAGAAACTACTTTGTCACTACTCTGGGTTGACTGTAAATACTGGGGATTCGAATTAGACACCATATGCGTGAAGAATAAATCCATTTTAGAAACGACATGTGTGCGGAATAAATCATTCGAAGTAGTGCTCAAGGTGATCAGAAAGTAGCCACTTCTACTGTAGGTTCACTTTAAATGAAAGTGATTTGAATTTTAAATTAAATTTCGGAATTTATTTGCCATCGTAGCGTTTTAGGGCCTTTAAAATTAAGCATGTTAAGGTACGTGCGTTTTTTAAGTCGTAATTCGGATGATAATATCCAAATTTCGATACAAACGTGCAAATTGTGCCTCACAACAAAAAAATTATAGCCCAAAGTTCCGGTTACTTTTTGCCGCCGTCGTTGAAAACTCGTAGCTTCACAAGACTCTTATGCTGTATGTGTAATTTACGATACGTAACGTAATTTACGTAAGTTATATGCGTAATTCTGTATGTACGTAAGTCACCATGAACCACACTATAAACCGTAATCTCACGTGCTAACTCATCTGAACTAATTAAGAGACCTAATTTTGAATTTCGGCGAAGATATGACTAAGAAGCTCATTTCAAATATTCATATTTCTTCGCAACATGAATCATACCCACGGCAAATTCCTGCAACAATTGCTTCCAAGACAGCGGCTAAAAACTAACACTTCAAAATGTAATAAACATTGAAAAGTAACGAAATTTTCTGTGGAAGTTTGCTCTGAACTTTATCAAGTTTGTTGCTAGTTTTGGGACTGGCACACCTCCATCAAAACTTTTCAACCCGGCGTAATTATTCGCTCTAAGATGTCGCTACGGTCAAAAACTTCCGATTAAAATTAAACTCAATTAGGAAAGAATTTTTAAAGATGAGTCACTTTCTTTGAGCCTCGTAGCGCTCTGCTGACACCTTCACTTCAACTTTTCGATGAACCTGGCTGGCCTAACTTGATCATAAGAATCCCTCTATAATTTTATGCAAAATAAAGAATTATAAAATAATTTTATAATTTTATGGTGTCGATATATGAACAATAAAGAAATGGCATAAGTTTATGCTGCTCAAGCCCATTAAGCAGTCGTAATTGAAAATGAAATGCTTTTTTTCGGCTTTTCAGATGAAAATTTGCATGCAAATTTTGCCTTGATAATTTCAGTAATTCTAGAATAACTTTATTATCTTCCAAGTACGGGTGTCTAAATATGATGATTTCAGCTGCAATATCAAAGCAATTTATACACATTTTGTTTCATTCGGGTAGTAGTTTATCCGATCCGTCGCAGCAGCTACTGGTTCTGCATCGCGTTCATTTTTTCCGTCATATGATGTAATAATTCCTTATTCTGTTGATCAATAAGGCAATTCAATCAATTACTTGCCCATTTCAATCTCTTTTACGTCGCCAATATAATGATCGATATTTCTCGACAGCTGCTAAGAACTGCCGGTATTCATATTGTATAAATATGATACAATTATATAGAATTATATTCACATTTCGTACATATAGATTCGGTCCTGTATTCATTCATCATATAGCGTATTTAGCTACTTATATCGATGGTTCTAAATTATGGACTTTTATATTCTGACTCGATCATATACTACGCGAACTTAGCGGCAAACCGCACTCAGAGATATACCTAGGTCATATTGTCCGAATAGTGACCCTTAATCTTGCCCGTAGTAAGAGCAGAGAGAGGACGCTGCACTGATACGTCCTGACGCCGACCAAAGTGGGTCAGTATGACCCATACAAGGGGGGAAAATTGCGGTGATATTTGGACAAAGTCTCACTCATTTCTCCGATTGATCCGTACTATTAACTGTCATTTGCGTCCATCCAAGCAATTGATTGTTCTCCGTGGAAGCACAGCCGTATCCTGGAAGTCCTGCGGGTCTGCAAATTACGTAACAAAGACAGGCGATGTGATTGGTAGTAATTCTCATGCTTGGTACCCAGGCCTATTGGGGATACTATTATTCCATCGCTATTGACACGATGATGATGCACTGCGTGTGCTGCAGCTGCAGGCTTCCGCGCATAACCGATTATTGCACTGTGATAGATGAGACGTTCAATTCAATTAAACGCGTGATTATCTCTCCACTAAATAGATTGGTTATGAATTATTGAGAGAAAATATCATCAGTCGGAGTTTTATTTCATTTAAATATTTGAGTGTGACTTGAGAACTAAACCGCAAGTCTGTCATGAGACGGAATTAGATTTTTTATGGAATTCATATGTTTTCTCCTTCAAATGAAGATCATAATTGTTCGTTTTCAATTGTAATCAAGTTTTCAGTTTGTTAATTTAGATATATTGGTATCATGTTGATATTGTTGGTATCAATGACTAGATACTTTATAATTTACAGACGAAGGTGCATCATATGTGTTATACAGTATAACAAATGCAACCGAACATCATTCAAATTGCCTTGATGGTATTCACGAAATGTTGGAATTTGTTGACTTAAAATTTTAATAACATTTGACGGCTAATTGACTCGCGGTGGGATAAAAACAATCAATTAAACGTTCCAGTCCCACAATTAGAAATGAAACACTAAGCAAAGACTTAGTGAAATTCTCGCTCATATTCAAGATCGATTAACAATTAAAGAATAAAGCTCGTCTCCAAGACGCTAGGTCAAATGAAGACAAAGCCCAATTATCTAGCATCTTCAAAGGAATCCGATTCCATCCGAAGATCCAACATTTCCCATTAGAAGACACTTCTATTAGAGCACTGGAACCATCGAATTCTCATATTATTTTGGCCATCCAATTCTCGCATTTAGCCATCAAATTCTCGTATTAATTTAGTCATCAAATTCTCGGAGTTCAAATTCCGGATATACATACACTAGATATGTCATATTAAAGAGAATAAATTAAATCAACAAGCATTAATTATGCATTTTTCATAGCATTCGTCTTTTTAATTGAGCTATTAATCTGGAATATTCAATTATTATATTACATAATTCGCAGACGAGAAATCGGCCGCTACGTGTACTTATGCCATTAAATGTCCCTATGTCATTAAATGTACTTAAGCGAGTTTTGAAAGTACGGCCGTTTAATACAGAAGATATTCGTGTGTTTCTCCCTTCAGATCCGGTACAAAACACCGCAGTTTCTCACTGCCATGGGCCCCAGCGTGGATGGCTTAATAATACACCATGACTGGAGGAAAAGACTCGCTGCCTTGGGTGAGTCAGACTTGGCGTCAGAATCTTGCTCGTCTTCAAGGATTTCTAATTTTATCGGAAACTATGTTAAGGTACAATAGCGAAGCCTATAATACTTCTGCGATGGTCATTAGCGTTCAAAACTACTAAAACACAGGTATTCTGTTATTCAACTCCCGTATCGATTTAAAAACATTTCCTTTATAATAAACAAGTCATTATATAAAATTGTATTGTATTCATTTTACTTTATAGGCCAAGAGTTTGGCATAATCCCAATTAGTATATTCCCACATTTTTTCAATTTTCTAACTTATGAAAACCTCTTTTAGAAATACATTCTTTGCACTTATTCTTTGTTTGAATTAATTTTGATGTTAATTCCATACACAGGCAGCACGCGAGATTCATCTGTAGAGCTGCTCATAGGCGTGTCGGAGACGGAGGTGTACGGACACATACTGACAGACGTTCCCATGGAAGATTTCCAGACCGACTACCGGGACAGACTTCTGCGTACCTTCATTGCTAACAACTATAACTACCATCTGCAGGTGAGAACATCATCTAAGCCTGCAATCTATACAATGTCTATGTCTATCTCAGCCTATCTTCAACAACAACTGTAACTACGTGAGCTCTGTGTCTGCAACGCATACACTACGTTGCACCGCAACGTTTCCTTTAGTTAACAATACACTTGACTGTTCCAAGTTACTACATCCTTTTCAACAACTTTGAATGCCTTGTTGTTATGAGTAAAACTTATCATTGTGCAAGCTGATACAACATTGTAAACCGAATAGACTTTCTGACTGCATTCCATACGCACACCTTCTCCAGGAAAGCTACAGATATCCTTTATACAGCAGCGTTTACTGCCTGCGATGAAGAACCAGTGGACACAGAAAGTGCACCAGTGGACACCAGTGCAAACTTACGTTTGAGGTGCGGCGACTTTGGTGTCATTGCAAGCGCCATAAAACGGCACTTGAAGCGTGGATCATCCGTTTTTTGGGAGCACCAGATCGTTCGTGCCTGTGGCTTGCCCATAAATGTTTGATGAGCGATGCAGGCGTCTTGCTACCCAAGCTTTTGGGAGATGTCCGGTCGAGAGAGAGTCGTCGGCTGAACATTATTTTTGTGACATATTTTATATACAATTTTACGTGTGTTTTGGTTCAACTTTTTGATCAGTCATATCCTAGGCTTATTAATTGAATTGTATATCGTGCCCCATACTGCTGCCGATATTCCGATTTTTAATTAAATGTAGAATTTTATGTGATACACCAACAATTTCTTAGTTAAAGTGCGCAAATGCTTACTAAGTTTTATCATCTCTTTGTACAAATTTAACTGATATTCGTGACCAAATATACCTACCGTTAATAATGAAGTTAGCTCAGAAATTAAAATCACTTGAAAATGTTGAATTAAAATCACTTGAAATGAAAATCAAGTCTGCCCTCGCGAAATAAAAAAAAAATCCCATATGCCACAAAAGTTTCTCGAGGCAGCTTTCAAGTATTGGAGAAATGTTTAATTTGTATTAAATTGTCTCTTAAATTAATTTGACTCGTGAAGTGAAGATAAGAAATGCTTGTTATTTTTTAAAATGTAAAATATTCTCGAAAGGATTCAAATACCTGGAGAAAAATGTCAAACGCTTAGGAAAGATTTTAGTTTCTAATAAGAAGAAGCGTGGATTAAAACATTTTATTGAGAATTGTGGCTTTACTTCCGATGCACTAACAAAACATTCGAAATATGTGGTTATAACGGAAAAAATTACCCACACTCTCAATCTTCTAGAAAAAATTCACACTCGTGGAATTTTCCATCAACTGAAAATTATGTAGATGAGCAGCGACCTTACCTTATGACCTTATGACCTTATGATGAGTTTAGTCGTCCTCCGTCTCCGAGTCGTCGTCGGATGTAACGTTGGACGTGTTCCGTCTATTTGCCCTCATTTGGGCCAGCTGATGCAAGATGCTGTTGCTTGTCACTTGCTGAGGGTAGTTTCCCATTACTGGACATACTGAGCTCCGATTCTGACCGCAAGGACTTGGAATGCTCGGCTGCCAAACCGTGCGGTATGCTGGGCCGGATATAAGCAATAAATACCTTCGCCTCAAGCACACTTGCTTCTTACTTGCTCCTCTCTTACTACAGCTCAACACTCTTATTTGTATCAGTGATTTAATGTAAGACACTTGTCACTTAATGTAAACACTTGTAATGTTTTTCATGTATAAAAGAGTAATTTTCTGAACACTTTCACACTGAACAAATTATACTCTTTTTTACTGACTTCCCTATGCTGGGAAGTCAGTGAATGTATGAAATTTCTCTCATATGATATGAGTTCTCTCTCATATGACTCAGCGCTCTCATATGACTGTGGCACTCACACCATCGAAAATTCTGTATAAGCCGCGCGTGTCGGAACTGAGTGAGGAATTTTTTTGCATCTTTATTATTAAAAGCCCGAAAAACGGAGTAGAAGTTCTCGCATTAGAAGAAGTTCATGCAACTTATTGGCTGGATTCTCAGGAATTATCGCGATGGTCATTATTTAGTTATGCGTGTTTGACATAATTTAACTAACTTAATATTTAAGTAGATAGTAGTTTATAATAAGGTACAGTAGACGGTAGATTTATGTTTGAGCGATTGGCTCGTGAAATTTTATTTGCGATCTCGTTTACTGTTCCAACAATCCTCCGGATTTATTGATTTTTGCACTCAATGATTACACACAATCGACGTACAATGCACTTCCTATTGTCATTGAAATTTTCTCCTGGAAATAAATAGATTATTTTCAACACCATTCAAACCCGAACCCAAATAGAATATTTTAGTGTAAACAATGCATTAATGCGCATGATGATTAATGCACCAATGCCTCTGACGATCAATAAGCTCATGCGCTTGATGATTAACGTACTGATGAGCATGTGCTAGACGGTATTAGCCTTTTTACCAGTTGTCGAGGCAAAAAAATTGCCGCTGTCTTGAGTAACTTTAATCTTGTAGCGAACAATCTAGCAGAACTGTCAGCCTCCTGTTCCTGTTTTGCTGCTGCACGCGCTCAGCCTTACAAGCAGCAGCTCCCGTACTGCCTCACTTGGGCGTCGTATAGCAGAGAATGAGAATTTTTTAGCAACTAATTCAAGGTTAATTTCCATGCTATCATTATCACGTAAAATCGGTTCATAGAAATTCCGTCGCACTTTAAATAAAACATTATATACATATGCATACCTATATACATATACAGACCATATATATATTTTATATATATAAAAGTGTTCGCAGTCACACAGGTGCTTTCATTGTCACGCCTGAGCGGTTTATAAAAATTTCGTCACATGTTAAATAAAACCCTGTATTTATATATAAATTGTTTACTGTCACACAGGAGCTATTCCTGGCAGTAACTGCAGAGTATACAGACTGGACACAACCTGGTCATCAGCAGCCAGAGTCTGTCAGAGCTCTAACTCAGCAAGCTCTGCACGATGCTGCCGTCGGAGCACCGGTGTCTGCAGCAGCCGTGCAGTTCTCTGCAGCCAAGTACTCTGCAGTCTACTTTTATGTCTTCAATCTCTCCAGTCCATCAGGCTCAGTGAGTCATCTTATACTTTTTCTTATCCCGCGTGAGATATTGGGCAAAATGCCATGCATTCAGCTCGCAATATTTCTTTCATTTCCTGAATTTCTAAGAAAATATTTTTATTTACTTAAAAAATTTACCGCTCCTAGTTTTTACATTCAAATCCTTTCGTCAGCGAGTCAGTCTAACTTCCAATGCATCGGCAAGATCCGAAGCCTAATGCATCTATTTTCTAAGCATGACAACTAACCAAACGCTCAGAATTTGTGTATATCATAAAAGTTCAGATCAATAGTATACAGGGCATGAGGATTTGATACCTCATGCATTGGCGCAGGCCGAAACGATTTTGATTTTGCCTGCGCCATTGATTTTTTTTGATTTGCAGAAACGATTTTGACAATGAGAACTACTAGAAAGTTCTCATTGATTTTGTCACTTACATTTAGATAAAATGTCACTGTATAGTTCTCCAAAAATAACGTTATCGCGACCTTCAGTCGTACTAACGTCATTGCTAAAATAATTGTTAATTTTTTTCCGAAATATTTTGACCAATGTTCGATGTCCAACTTTGCAACAATTGTCAATATAGTTTCCGTAGACGTGAGGATATTTATTTCACAAATTATTCTGATGCAGACGTAATGAAACTATAGGTATAATAATGCAATTATAGTAATTGTAGTTATTTAAGTAAAATTACAGATTATAATTATTACACAAGTGGGATGGATGTTATTGATGTTGAGTGTAAACGTAGGGCTGGATCGTGGACGAGGTGTCGTATATCACAAATTATTTTAATTTCAATTATTTTTGAAACTATTGCTACAATAATAAAATTCTACATTTAATAATTATGCGACAATGATCCTGAATTATTATTATAAAATTTTAATTATAATGAGTGTGAACGCAGAGCGGGAGCATGGATGAGATGTCGCTGCTGCTGGGAGCCGCTCTCACCGCCCCCCGGGGCAACGTCTCGGTCGCCCTCAGGGAGATGAGCGAGGCTGCCATCTTGCTCTGGTCCAACTTTGTCAGGAACGGGTGAGTGGCAGACGTGTTGGGTACGTGTTGTGCACGTGTTGGGTACGTGTTGGGTACGTGTTGGGCACGTGTTGGGTACGTGTTGGGCACGTGTTGGGTACGTGTTGGGCACGTGTTGGGCACGTGTTGAGTGGCAGACGTGTTGGGTACGTGTTGTGCACGTGTTGGGTACGTGTTGTGCACGTGTTGGGTACGTGTTGGGTACGTGTTGGGCACGTGTTGGGTACGTGTTGGGTACGTGTTGGGTACGTGTTGGGCACGTGTTGGGCACGTGTTGGGCACGTGTTGGGCACGTGTTGGGCACGTGTTGAGCACGTGTTGGGCACGTGTTGGGCACGTGATGGGCACGTGTTTGGCACGTGTTGGGCACGTGTTGGGCACGTGTTGGGCACGTGTTGGGTACGAGTTAGGCACGTGTTCGAAACGTGTCGAGGACCTCCCAGAAATTCATTCTGACTATTCGTTTGGGAACTTTTTGGGGTATCACTAAGGTGACTCTTTGGTTCTTAGTACTGTCACTTGTTGTAAGTGCACTTGCTGAGAATAGATGAACTGATTTAAATTTAAATTTAAAATATTCATGCCAATACACACGCTTCCATTCATCCAAACAAATATTGTACCTATCTTAAGCATTATTTCGCTCACCCCCCAGCAACCCGAACAGTTGGCTACGTCAGGACTCAGGCTACAGAATAGACAACTCGCTCTACCACATCCCGCAATGGCCGCTGTACCGACCCAGTCATAGATATTACCTCGAGTTCAGTGAGTACATGTGCTTAATGTTACTCAAGTGTTACCGAGACTGCAGTGAGTACAAGTGCTTAATGTTACTCCTGTGTTACCGAGACTTCAGTGAGTACAAGTGCACAGTGATTCTCAGATATCACCTCGAATTCGGTAGACAGACATGGCATATCTGTTTTTCTTCATATATTATCTCGATTTAAATAAGGGTATACGCAAAGTGTCACCCAGATGTCACCTCGAGTTCAATGAATGTATGTGCTTGATTTTGCCAAAATATTAATTCGAGTTCAGAATTTGTAAACTGGCACTTATATGATACCTCCACTGAGGACATGGTCTGAACGTTACCCCCTTGTTACCTCTAGTTCGGCAAATTAATATACAAATACTTCCATGATTTTGTTCCTACTCAAGTTTGCATTGTATGAGACCGCCAATGGATCTCAATTACATCCTAAGAGTTTTTGAGCACGATGACAACAATAATCTCCGAGTAGTGAAACTGCAGAAAAAGACAAAATTGTGATGTAATTATTGGTGCATGAATTTCCGCACTTGTTTGCTATACTGCACTGAATAATTGGCTTCAACTCTTTGCGCATGGATATGGCTTTATCTCTAACATAACTTTGCCTCGGGAAAATAATGTTCAATTATTCGACTTAAATTCATTCTCCAAATTAGTTATTAAAATAACGAGTCAAGAAAATGTCTCAGAACTGCAAATTTCAAATAATATGTGATTAGATCGCATGGAATAAATAGTACTTTGCAAATCCGACAAGTGCATAGGCCTCAAAGCTCTTTAAGAAGCGCCTACCCAGAGGAAATCCATACACTTGTAATGTTGCGACTCTATTGCGCCTAAGCGCTCCAGAGGGCAATGGAGCACACGTGTCTCGCGTAAATCCCCAAACAAAATCCATCGTTACTAATAAACAGCAAAATCACTTCGAAAAACTGCTACCTGTACATTATTTACCTCATTGTTAACTAATTGTCATGGTCTTCATGAAGCCTGTTGCCAGTTATAGAATCTAAATTAATGTTCTCTCGGATATCGTCTTCATCTGTCTTTGAAAGAATTTCTGTGAGAGTGAGACTTCAGATATGAGAATTTGAAGCTCTATACCTGACGGCTCCAGACAATATATCATCAAGAGAATAAAAATTTTCATCATAATTCAAAATTTTGAATGTTTTTCCGTTATTTGTCATTGATCACATAAATTTTAAATGTCATTTTGCATAAGATCCGCAATAGAGTCGCAAGCCAGCGTGTTATCTCGAAACGATTCAAGACGACTTTTTTTTTTGAGTCCTACATCTCTGCTTGGTATGGAGGCAACGCTTATCTCAACGACGCCGCGAGGCTTCTTTGTGAAAAAAACTCTTACTGGAATCCGTTCCGCTGAAATTTATATCAGATTTGGAAATCCCTGCAGGGCACAGCACAATAGTCGGACAGTTTTTTTATTGATTAATTTAATAGTTATTTTTTGTTTGTAAATATTGCAAAGCACAGGAATATGCCAATAAAATAAAAAATCAGGCAATTGCCAGCAGATTTTATTCTATATTTTACTATATGATATTTTTTGACATATTCTTAATCTATTCTATGTTCGCACGCCAACTTTGTGATCGATAGATTTAATGGACTAGTATCGTGCATGAAAACCGTTTAAAAGCCGTAAGTCTTCTTTTTATTCTTTCATGTTTACCTGATAATATACGAAATTTCATCTACAAAGCATAAATCTGTTATAAATATACTATGTATTAGTAATATTTTTCATTATTTTCCCGTACAGGCCGGTCCGGAGCCACTCCACGGGACCATTACAGGGCGGGTAAAGTGGCTCTTTGGACATGGCTTCTGCCATCCCTCGAGCTCATAGGAGCGAGGTATGGGCCGGACTCGTCCTTCCACAGACTTCCTGACGACTCACTTACTTACTCAGGACTAGTGAGACCCAAGCCCTCAAAATGGGTCATCAAAACCGAGTATTTGTCGCCCTTTTCCACGTGGCCGTCCCTGTTATTTGTAGTTCCTACTATTACATCTAAGGGCGACACTTCGGTCGTCGATAACAAGGTGCTCCAACATGCCATTAAGATGCACGCAAAAAGCGGAGACTCTGACGTCGACGATATCTACTCTGAAGGCCCTAGCTTGTTTTCCTCGGATATCATGGACGTCAATTCGAGCGTGATCATCGTGCAGACGAGTGATGACGTTCACGTAAATCCTGAGCGAAAAAAGATCCATGTTCGAAGGCGAGTAGTTTTCCCGTACGCAACAGCGCTTGGAATCACTGTGGGACTTGGGTGCACTTTACTTCTAATAAATGTTTTAGTCTGGGTTTTCATACGCCAGAAAAAGAAGAAAAAGAAGCGTGTGGTGATAGTAGAGGAAGACACTCATATTCCAACACCATCATCGTATGGTTTAGCCATGGAATCAAGCCTCTCGCCCTCACATCACAGCTCCACGACGATGGAGACTTTGGAAACCTTCTGTGACGTTCCAAATCGGCTCGTAAGCCCTGCAGAATGCGGCCAATGTTGCCAGGAATTGGCACAAAGCTGTCCACGCAATACAGCACGCGACTTCTGTCAAGCAAATGGCGGTGCTTTCGGCAGCCTTCACAGACATCCTGGAATGCCTGGTACTGCCATCATTCCAGTTCATGGAGAGAACCAACCTCTGTTGTCTCCTAGCACTTATATTCATGATCACATGTCTAGTATGTCTAATCACTGTACTTATAGTGTGCATCCGCCTTGCATTACTCCTTGCACATCTCAAACTTGCACTGAAATACGTTTGTAATGTTCACTCAAGACTATTTTACCAATAGTTTAATGTCAACCACACTAATGTTTTAATACTCGAGAATATATATAATAGAATGTAAGATGGATAGCAACCACGCAATCAAAATGGTTTTAAATCTGACTTCACATTATAATGTAATGAAATGCTGACATTCTTACATTTTTTATTTAAAACATTGTAGTAAAGTATTATGTAATTAGCAAAATTTTCGAAACCTTTCGGTTTGAAATAAATTAAAGCAATGAATGTATGGTGTGTTCTGTAATTTAGTTTTTCATAGGACTCGATCTGTTCAATGTTTCTCAATTTGTGCAAATTAAATATTTCTGTGAAATATTACTTTCATTTTTCATTACTCCCTTCAATTCGACAATAATTAGGTGACAGAAGTATGTAAAAAATGAATGGAAAACATATTAATATCCATAACATTTTATTTTCTTTACTGCTTCAGATCTTACGTTTTTCAAGTTAATACCAATAAATTTTACTGAATGAACTTACGAGCATTGTATGTAATAATAAACAAGCAATAAAGTGAGCTATTCATTAGCGTTTTGCATTGTAATAGTGTTTTTGATTTATCTCAGGCTCACCTTTATTTAGCTGGCCACTGTCCTCCGACAAATGAAGGACTGCGACCCTGCGATTAAAGCTGTAATTGCGTAATAAATTCAATGCACACGCTGGATGAATTAGTGACGTAATGCTTGTAGTATAATGAACGATCAAATGAGAGCACTGTGACAAACTCGCATGGCACAGCACAATTACGCTTAGATTTAGCATTCGGCATTCGCTCACTCCACTGACCCAAGCTGTTCCAAGCACGAGGACATTTTCAGAGCGGGTAAAAGGTTGCAAGCACACTCAGAAAAGTTGAGAGGCTTTGTGCATATAGCGATGCACTTTCACCCTCGTGTGGTACGTCTTGACCCAGTTTTTCTCAGGACATATCAGTGCTACGTACAGAAAGTGTGTCACTATTTGTACCATTTGACCGTTTATTTTTCTGAGTGCAGAAGTTGGTTAAAACAAAAAGGACATTGCCATTATTCAGCAGCTACGACGTCAAAAATCTCCCCAAAAAGCTTTTTTGAACAGCACAAATGAAGAACAGGCTAGAAATTAACTATCCATGCTCTTATGGTAATGACTGAAGCTCAGCTGAACTCTGCCTCAAAGTGATGTGTTTTCATTTAAAAGGGAATAATATATCTCGGTGTATGTCGGAACAAAGATGGTCTGAATTCATGACTAATTTATTCAAACTACCCAACGACAGTTACAGTATTTAGGCGTTCATTCTGCACTATTAATAAAATCATAATGAGGTGAAAATTATTTGTGCTCTGCAAAAAGGAACTAATTAGAGCGGGAAAATCGCCTTATGTAATTAATTTTGAGGAGGCAACGGGTTTGAGCATCTTGCCTCGGAGCAATATTGAACTCATGGCAAATGGATAAAAGTTTACCGCATTATATATAAGAAACTAAATGCTATAAAATTAGCATGTGCTTGATTCAAAGAGAATTTTTTCTCCAGTAATTATTGGAGGTGGAAATTTTTCACTTATAAAGGCCTATCATTTAAGGCTTCTCCCAGATGTAAGGATGCTCATTCTTTAAAATTTAAATAAATATCAGAGATTACCGCTATGATATATGAGTTTCGGATAGTATTTCGCATATTTAAATGAACAATTATTTTTAAGTCCACTTGAACAATCACCTTATGAATTGTTTTTGACTACAACCTAATGTTCCGACACTTCTCTCAAATTCTCACTCAATAAAATTCGAAGCGAAATTCTCGAAATTCCGAATAAAGCCTACGACGGCCTCAAGTGAACTTGGAAAGCTTCATCCAACAACATCTCCTACTTTGTTACCTCGAATTTTCTATTCAATTCACTTTTACATGGACTCAAACTAGCTCTTATGAGAATACCTTTTGCCGAGACAGTTCAGTTTATTTTTTAATTTACATGACATTTTTAGCGCATTTTCTCATTTAGGGAAAGAATGCACTATTGTGCTCGCCATGTCCGTCTGTCTGTCTGTCTGTCTGTCCGTCCGTCTGTCTGTCTGTCCGTCCGTCTGTCTGTCTGTCCGTGACCTTAAGTTTTCGTCAACGAGAAAATGCGCTCTCTGTTACTCACTGCAGTGAGTACTGAGTTATATTTTTTTATGCAATGCAGCGTACACATGGAAGAGCTAGTCGAGAGCATATCCATCGGGCCTACGTTGGTTTAAATGATAAAAATTATGTGATAGAAGAAGCGGTATTACTATATGGAGACTGAATTGCAATATTTAAATTCTAATTTTTTAAGCGCAGATAAAAACGCAAAAATTTATAAAATTTAAAACCGGGTTCATAAGTAATGATTCTTTTCTATTGATAGAGTTCTCCTGTGTTCAGTTAACTTTACTCGAATTCAATCATTATTATTAAGGTTAACAAGTGGAAATAATACATCCATTCTCAAATCTCTAAGATTTTCTATGTCTGCCAGCACCAGAATGGCCTTCCGTTGAAATAAAATATAGGGGCAATGGCCGTTGATGAAATTTTTGCCTGAAATTTTCTATCATGTAGTCGCTGAGCCAAAAACCCACACGCCAACTAATGGCATGGCTTTGTAGGCAGGACTAGCACCGGATAATAAGCCGCATTAAGTCCAGAAATTCCTCAAAGGCGATAACAAATTGAATGCGCCTGCAAAAGAACGCGTTCGTTCCATCATCTGCGAAGCCTCCCCGTTGCGAAAATAATGCCGTACAAGAAGTAGTCTCCACGACGCAGCCATGTTGCATTATCGGGAATTTAAACCATTTTCCAAAGCCACAAATGAACCTTCGTAAGGAATTCCTCTTTTTGGTTGTTGAGGCCTGTTAAATTGCCTAATGTGTTCTGAAAATCATAATTAATGACGATAACATGGCTTTCACGTAAGAATTCTAAAAAATAAATTTTCTAATCACATGTTTTATAAAGCTCCAAGTTAACAAACCTATTTCAGTTGCAGCATTTTTTGAATAATATTTGTGTTTACACTAGGGGAGGCTGCTAATGCTTTTCAGATCTCCCGTGAAAAATGAATGCATCTCTCCTGCCGTCTCCCTATGGATCATGGCTCCGCTGTATCATGAAAAAAACATTGTAGCTCGGGTTTTTGAAAGCGATGTTGAGCGATCAATTTTCTGTGAAATTCGGGAGTTGAAATTGAGTCAACTTCTTGCCGTCAGAACACACTGAAGCCTTTAGTGCGTGAGTTCTATTACTAGGGTCTAAAAATAATGACGTAGATGAATTAAGTGCATAACAAATTTCGGTAGTTTTTCCTTCCCAGACGAATAATCGGTAATCATAATCCAGAAAGTCTTTGAAATGAATCACGTACCGCATAAAATGTGAATCATATTAGTAGGTATATATCTGGTACGCAAGCTGTAATCCGCAATAGCAAAGAATTGAATAATTATTTAAATCTTGCGTCGCAAACTGGGGAATTGTTAGTCGCTTATGATCCACAAGCAATAACTGAAGAACAATTTACGTCTAACGTCAGAAGTTGGGAATCATTTTCTATACATTATGGTTCTTGGGGCAAAAGGGATCTTAAATTTAGATTTGATGCAAGTAAAGAAATGACAAACAATTTTCATTATTCAAAGGAAAGGCATGTACAAAATTAAATTATCCGGAAGGAGCTGACTGAACTTATCAATTATTACTGATAATTATCGATTTTATTATTATTATTTTGAGGAGGACTTATCTAATTTGATGCATTGTGTCAACACCTCGGCAAAATATCATGAACACCCTGTTAAATTTTATTTCGTTTTTTCGCTCGTTTACTGAAGTCGCGTATGGATATTCTTACTTATTTTTCATAACTAATCCCTGTATTAATCAATGCATTGATTAATTACTGATCACTAATTAATTAATCACGCTAAATATTGGTGTAACATGAAACGCAATATTTCCGCTCATTGTAGCGCTGCTCCTATATCCTCATCGGCTTATCGATGTTATCGACATAAGACCGCCAGTCTGTACGATCCTTATTAATACTCAGTAACATTAATGAAAGATTGTCCAAATAGTGATGCACTTTTTGTCCTTTTGTGTGTTACCCTGACCCAGTTTGGGCTGGGATAAAGGGGTATCAGTGCGTTCTGTTTCTGATAAAATAATAATAAAATAATAATAAAAATAGTAATACAAATAATTCCCATATTGTAGGTAAGAAAGCGTGTGGCTATTTCATCACTATATGTTATCCATTCATTCTACTCCAGTGTTGATAACAGAGCATAAGAATTAGCGTATTATTAAAGTGCCAATAATTAATTAACGCAGCCACAAATAATATTTCAATGACGTTTCGGCATCAATCGCAGCCTCGTTGCACTCTTGTGTCCGTAGCACAACCTCTTAATTGCAAAGACATCAGGTAACAGGCCTGGAAATTGTCTAAATTAATTAACCTAACCTTGGCCCAGCTTCCACTATTCTCTTGATGCCAAAATTAATTAGCGTAAGATTAATTACGGAGGTAATTAGTTAACATAGAAAATAACCAAATTCCCAGTCATTGGCTAGCTTGCCGCCTCGGCGCTCAGGTGCTAAAGCTATGCTAATTAGCACGGCATACAGGAAGAGCCTCAATTTCATTATTTTAACAGCCCAAGCATTTATAATCCTAATAATGACATTGACAAACTCTGTCACATTCTAGCAATATTCATTCATGATGTTCGTCGACAGCTGCACTGCCTGAACATTCACGAAAACATCACTGTGCTCGAAAATTATCTAATAATATTTTTAAATATTTGTGAAAAGTCCAGAGACAAAAAAATTTTCACTTGAAAATTGTAATTAAAATGTTTATAAAAACGAATAAGTTGTTCACTCGGTAATTTTATTTTTCAATAATAAAAAATGTTCTAACGAAGGGAATACGTTTGCTGTCATTCTTTTGTTATTGCTGTTTTCAATGAAAACTTGTGATTACATTTTTGATTTTATTATTTTTTTACCTTATATAATCGCTTAATAAAAGACCTTTGCTTGCTTACTCTTCAAATAATTGATAATTCTGTGTAATGTACGTAGAAACAATACTCCTTAAATAACTGAAATCAGTGTGAGAAATATGTATATTTCCGAAACCAAC